CCGCGAGCAGGCCCCTCCCAAGGGGAAGTCACCGGGCCGAGTCGCGGCACCTCTGGCCTCAGGTCCTTCGCCTTCCTGACCGTGGCTGTGGTGGCCGGGGCTGCCTGTGGCCGGCGCTCCACACCCTGGCTCTTATCCTGCTCCCCGCATTCGCAGCCCCCCGACTTCCGTCCCCCAATGCGGCCCTCAGGGACTTGGGGACTTTCTACGCACAGTCTCTCCTGGAGGGTCGGGACCCCGCTCGTGTTCTGGAGCGAGTTAACACAGCGCCCCCCCATTTCACGTTGAACCCCAAACACCCTGGACCTCAGAATGTGACCGTACTGGAAGAGCAGGTCGTTGGAGATGTGGTTAAGGTGAGATGAGGCCCCGTCAAGGGTTTCTCCTCAGAGAACGGGAAGAACGCACCCACGCAGCCCCCACGAGGCCCAGCGAGGGCAGGGACGCCCCGCAGGGCGGACGCCCAGCCCCACTCGCCGCCGGGGAGTGAAAGTGGAAAGTCGGGGCGCAGCAGCCGGCGAGGCCCTGGCGGGAGCGGACGGCGCGGCCTGGATCTCCGAAGCGGGCACAGAGCTTCCTCGAGCACACACTGGAAACACCCTGTGGCGCGGCCGTGCCCAGAGGCATCTGCCTGAGGATCTGGAGAAGCTCTGCGCCCAGTTCGCGGGTTATTCACAGTCAACGGCAGACACCCCCAGCACCCCGCACTGTGTCCCGGCGGGAAGCTGGGCCGGCCCCGAGATCAGACCCCGGCTTCCCCGGCACCCCACGCCAGCTCCCCAAGGCAAACCCAGAGCCGGGGCCCCAAGGGCCCGCCCCCAGCCTGCGTAGAGTCTGCACACCACCCTCCCTGCGCTGTCAGCGGGGCAGGCCCGCGGCCACTGTCCCTGCAGGGCGGCTTCCCCCAGCGAGGGCGGCTGGACCAGGTCCGCAGGGGCTTCCGGGGCGGCCAGGGAGGTGCCGGACACTGTGTCTGGCCCGGGGCTGAGACCAGAGCACCGTGAGCCAGCCGGCACAGTCAGCTTATGCTTTTGAGTAAAGGGCCACCCTGCCCCGCCCCCCAGCGAGCGATGGGCCCCAGGCAAGCCGGGCCGGGCCCTGGCAGCCCTGCGCAAGCGCCTCCTCCCTGGCGCGTCTGACAAGCTGCTTATCTGCAGCGTGAGCAGGCCAACTCTCCCGGCAGGAGCAGAGCCAGCGACTCAGCAGGGCCGCCAGAGAGCGACACGCAGGGCGGGCGCCAGGGTGAGCGAGGGACCCCGCCGTCTGCATCCCACACCCCACAACTCCGCAGGACGGACCAGTGTCCAGGCAGGGTGTGGGGACACGCGGTGGCTCCCAGCGCGCCCTGCCCCGGGGGCTGGAGGCTGCCCAGGCCTCGTCTGCTGTCCCTGGCTCGACTCCACACGCAGGGTGGGGAGGCGGGAGGAGGCCGGGCAGAGGCCCCGAGGGCAGCCGGCGGCCGGCCCTGTCCTGGACCACCTCTGGCCGTCTACACCTCCCCGGCGCTGGGACCCGGGGCGACAGCTGGGCCGTGCTCACGCTGGCCCCCACTCCGCGCTTCTTGGGCCTGCCCTGCCCACTCAAGCCTCCCGCTGCCCAGGGAGTGGGGCGCTGGCCCTTGTTTTTCAGGACGAGGAGAGAGAGGCACAGGGAGGAGAAACGAGGTGTGCACAGCGGCGGGCGCCGTGGTGGAGGGCCTGAGCCAGCTCCTGGCTGCAGTGCTCGGGCCTGGTCACTGCTTTGCTGCAGCCTGCAGGGATGCGGCCGCGGGGCGCGTTGGACCCTGAGCCTCTGCTTTTAAGCACATCAAGAACCTCCTCCCTCCCCCTCCCTCCTCCTCCCT